GCACCGGGACTGTGGGGCAGCCGGTGCCAGTGGTGAGAAGGAGCAGGGACCAAGGACTGGGCTGTGGCACTCACAGTGAAGTAGGTGACAGCCACACGGTCCTGCAGCAGCGTCTCGAAGGATTCAGCCCAGCTGACCACAGACCCCGGAGCAGAGCTGCAGCAGGCAGAGGGTCCCGGCAGGCTGTTCACACTGTGGTTGCTGCCGCGGGCCCTGGAGGCGTTTAACTCTGAGAGAGAAAAAGGGTCAGTCCTGGCAGCCTGGGTGCTCCCCAGTGTCACTCCCATGTCACCAGCAGCTCTCTGTATCTACATCAGTTTCATCCACCTCATCCCAAGCAGAGCCAGCAGCCCTCAGACAGGGAGCACAAGGAGCATCACAGCAGCATCCTTGGTGGGTTGAGCTGGTGATGGCAGAGCTGGCGCTTTCTGGCACGACAGCCTCCCTGCCAGCACTGGCCTCTCCTCCCTGTGTCACCATGACTCCACCAGTGACTCACTTCCCAGGGGAACAAAGCGGATGTGTGGGGAAGGCACCCAGCCAGGGAGGGAAAGTGGGGAGGAAGGGGACCTGGGATGCACACAGCATGGAGGGAAGCTCAGAGGATGGGTAGGGGTCCTGATTTCGTTCACCATTCCTCCAGCCATGACGAGGAACAAACCCAGTGAGAGGAGGGCACAGAAAGTGTCATCTCCAGCTCCCAACCCAGAGGAAACCCTCTCCTGGGGAAACCCAAGGTGACCAAGCATTCCAATGTAATCCCTCCATCAAAAAGATGGAAGTTCCCAGGGGCAACTCCAGCTTTTGAACTGGTTTGGCTGGTGAGCAACTGGCAAGAGAGTCATTTGCAAGAGAAGGTAAAGGTCTCTCCCAGCAAAGCTGGCAGGAGCAGAGGAGGAGTCAGGCTCCTGCTTTGCTGGGCTCCCCACCCTTTCCCTCCTGTCCAGAACAGGGGGTAAGTGCACACACTCTGCCTGTGGGAACATCAGCCACCAGCATCCCGCATTGGAAGGATCCTGCAGCGGGACGGAGATGGGTGAATGGACTGAGATATCTGATACACAACGAGACAGATGGACAGACTCCCTCAGGAAGCCGGGGGCTGTCTGGTACCCAGGTTCTGCTTGCCCCAGGAAGCCTCTCAGCCCTCAGCACCCAAGGGTGCCAGCTGAGCAGGAGGGACAGGCACAATGGGATGAATGGGGGTATGGTGAGTCCCTTTCAGAGGGCTCATCCCAGCACCGCGGGGGCCCGGCCATGCACTCGCCCATGGCACAGCCTGTGCTGACACAGGACCTGGCTCTCTGCTGGCTCCTTGCCCCTGGCATCATGCTGCCTCTGGCTTCCCCCTCCCCTGCCGATGATGCTGGGCTCCAGCAGAACAAAGAGCAGTCTTACCTCCATCTGACACAGCCGGACCCTGTGGGATGGAGAGAAGAGAGGTGAGAGGGGCCACACGGCACCTGCCAGCGTGGTGGAGCGGTACCCAGGTGAGCAGCACCACCAGGGCAAGACCAGTCCAAACCCAGGACACAGGTTGCCTGCAAACACTGCTCTTGTGATAGCTGGAACCAGAACGGCTGTCCCATGGCAGAGGCAGGACAGCAGTGAGCAGGGGTGGGGGGTTACAAGGGATGCACCGCTTTTCTTCCACCTCCTGCACATCTACTTCCCTGGGGCCAGGCCAGCAGCTGGGAAAGGGCAGATGCTATCGGATGTAACCCTGCCACCGCTGCCCAGAGAGGAGAGAAGCAGCCTCCTCAGCACAGGAAGAGGAGGGGAGGAGGGGAGGGAAGGAAGGACAACCACAGCCCTAGGCAGGCAAACTGCCTGCTCCCTCCTTCCTTGGGGCCGGGGCTACTGGAGTTGCAGATGCCCCAAACTAGGGACTGGAAGCTGCTAGCCCAGGGCTCAGCAGGACAGGAAGCCCTACAGCACCCCTTGGGCCATCCCAGATACCAGCCATGGGGACGTGGTACCCCAGGACCCACAGCAAGCAGGGACATGGGCAGAGCCTCCACAGTCAAAGCCCAGCCAAGAGGTGCTGCCTCTCATCGCCTGCCTGGGGCCCTACTGAAGTTCTCCCCACCCTGCCAGCCCCACACACCCCAGCCTACCCTGCACACCGCCTGCTTGTCCCCATCCCAGACCCACACACCCCAGCCTCACTATCCCACTCTTCCCTCTCCTTTCTTCCCCACCCCATATCCCGCTGCCACGCCCCTTACTCCAGCCCCACATATCTCTATCTTGCCGGCTCCTTGCTCTTCCCCATCCCAGCACTGTTAATTCTTGTAACCCCATCCCCATATGCCACTGTTTGTCCATTACCCCAGTGCCATACACCCCCACTTACATTGCTGTCTCAGACTCATAAACCCCTGTCTGCTTATTACTCCATCCCCATATGTCCCTCCCTGCCTGCTCCTATACTGCTGTCTGCCCTAATACCCCTCTACATCTCTGCTTGCTTTGAATACCCAAGTGCAGTGCCCAGCCCCAGAATTTTCACCTGCCTTTATCCACCCCACACCCCTGTGCCTGCCCGGTACCCAGCTGCACAGTGCCTGCCTCCTGCCCAGCCCCATACACCCCTCTGCCTGCCCGGCACTCAGCTGCACAATGCCCCGCCTGCCTCCTACCCAGCCCTATACAGCCCTCTGCCTGCCCGTTATCCACCCCACGCTCCCCCGCCTGCCCGGTTCCCGGTCCCAGTCCGTGCCGCCGGGTGGGGCATCCCCGGGGGATGGAGAGCGGCGCCCGTGGCCAGGCAGGGACTCACCATGTGGCCGTTGTGGACCAGCAGCAGCTTGGCCTTGCCCTGCATGCCTGGCACCGCCCGGCCGAGCGCGCTACCGGCGCGGCCCGCGGCCCCGCAGCATCCCCGGCGCGGCTCTCCCGGCGCTCCCCGGCACTACCGCTTTCGGCTGCCACAGGAAGTGTCGCCTTGGGAACCGAGACCGCAGCGGGGGGAGCGGAGCCGCCCTCCCGCCCCGCGCCGCCGCCACCGGCCCCTGCACCGCCCCGGCAGGCACCGGCTCCAGCGCCGCGACAGGCGGTGCCGCTGCCCCGCCGCATCCCCGTCCCTGCCGCCATCTGCATCCACATCCGTGGCCCCATCTCTGTCTGCATCCCTGTTCCCGTCCACATCCACATCTTCATCCCTTTCCCCATTTCCATCTGCATCTACATCCATGACCCCATCTCTGCCTGCATCCTGTTCCCATCCACATCCACATCTCTATCCCCATCCCTATCCCTTTCCCCATCTCCATCTGCATCTACATCCATGACCCCACCTCTGCCTGCATCCTGTTCCCATCCACATCCACATCTCTATCCCCATCCCTATCCCTTTCCCCATCTCCATCTGCATCCACATCCACAACCCCATCCCTGTCTGCATCCCTGTTCCCATCCACATCTACATCTCCATTTCTGTTCCCATCCCTGTCCTTACCCCTGCCTCCATCTGCATCCATATCTGCATCCCTGTTCCTAACTGCATTCCCATTCCAGTCCCCATCCCTATCCCTGTCCCTGTCACCATCCCAATACCCATCCCCAACTCCACCCCTATTCCTGCCTCCATTCATATCCATGATCCCATTCCCATCTCCCTGGCAGCAGCACCGGCACGGCCCTCAGGGCCACCCCCAGGCCCATTGCACGGCATGGGGCTGGGAGGCAGCCGCGTGCAACCAGGGCATGTGGCTGCTCCCAGCCCTGTGCCATGCAATGGGCCTGGGGGTGGCCCCGAGGGCCGTGCCGGTGCTGCTGCCAGGGAGAGCTGCCTGCACCACGGATGCTGGCAGGGCCCGGCAGAGGAGCAGTGGACTTGCCGCTTGGAGCCACCAAACTGATGCCTAAGCAGTTTTGCCCATCTCCTAAGGTCGGGGTTCCATGCTGATCAGCAACCACAAACCAGTCAAGGATATTTTAGGATATTTGTTAGGAAAATACAAGTAACTAACAGTTTGAGGATAAACCGCAGAGCACCATGGCAACCTGCTCATGGAAATGCTAGTAACTGGGACGTAAGGTGGGTGATTAACCTATCAAAAGCAGAACCCTAACATTAAGTCGGGTGCAGATCTATGCAGAGAAAAATGAAGTGTTCCCACTGTGAACATGCACAAAAGCAGCGTGGCATTATCAGCCGCAGCCCTGGCAGGGGGTCTATGGGCAGGGGTAGTGGAGTGTGGTCCCCGCTGCTGCCCCATTGGCCCCTGCTGCAGCTCAGAGCAGCAGTGGGGCAGGGGGTGATGGTGCTGCTCCCTGTCCCTTTGTTAGAGCAGAGCTGTGGTGTTTGGCTTGGCTTTGTAACAGGAGTTATAAATAAGAATGTCTCACCAAGAGTGCGTGACTCACGGTCCTCACCACAAGGATAACCTCTGCTAGGAAACCTGGTCTGAGGGCCAAACTGCGGCCTGAAAGAATCAAAGACATTGCCTCATTAATGTATTTAATGCAGATGGTGAACAGAAGAGCCTTTAACCCCACTTGGGCAAGGTGCCTGTGCCCCTTTGGAGCCCATTCCTGTGCCATCCCTGACCTCCGGTTCCCAACAGCCCAGCCCTCGCCCTGCTCCAGGGCCTGGTGGTTTCTCTTGGATGGCAGCGGGGACCTGTGGCAGTGGCTGACGTGGCCTTGAGCAGCTCCAGCCTCAGTGTTACCTCTTGCTGCCCTCCACGGGGGCAGCTCATGGGTGTTGGTGTGAGGTGGGATGGGACGGTGTGCTGAGGCATCACTCCTCACACAGGAGGCTGTGTCAGCCCCATGCACCAGGATCCCATCACCATGCTCTGCCCGTGGTGTCTGGTAACACATCCTCCTGCCATGCTGCCATCCCCAAGCCACCAGCTGGTCCCATTGGGAGAGAGATACCCTGTGCCCCAGTGCCCCAGCCTGCAGGACCTGCTTTATTCTGGGGGTAGGGGATGGCGGGGCGACAGCTGGCTGGGGGATTTGCTGAGGGCATTATTTAATGCTGTGGGTAAATGGAGAGACAGCAGCTAATTCTGGAGCCCATAATCCTCTTCCTCCCCTGGGATGGGCAGTGTGCCAGTCTCACAGCCTCCGGCGGGCCCTGGGGATGAGCCCCTGGCAGGTCCCCAGGCATGCTGCATGCTGCAGTGACTCCTGGACCATGGGTGATGTGCAGAAGGTAAGCGGGGCCCGGTGACATCCCAACTGCGCCAGGACATCAGCTCCCAGTGTCAGTGCTGGGCAGGCTGACAGAGCAGGACTGGGGCTTTACGATGGGCAGTGTCCACAGCTCGCCCAGGAGCCAACAGGGCTCTCAGGGCCAGGGACAGTCACCATGGGGGGACCAGGGTTGGGTGGATCTCCCATGGGGTCACCCCAACCTGGGACAACATGGGAGCAAAGCCCTGGTGCTCACTCAGGCCATAGACATAGAGTACCACGGTGAACAGCATGCCCAGCTTCCCCCTCTGAAATGAGGGTGCTATGCAGTGACCTGGCACCCTGCAGGACTCACCCAGCACCCCACACCCCCAGGGGCTGCTCTCCGTCATCCAGAGGCTGAAAGGATCCCCGGAGCAGGAGGTCCGCATTGTCCTGCTGGGGTTGGACAACGCGGGGAAGACCACGCTGCTGAAACGCCTGGCGTCTGAAGAGGTCAGCACCGTCACACCCACCCAGGTAGGTGCTGCTGGGGGCCAGCAGGAGGGTGGCAGGTCCTGCCCTCCCCTGCCAGATGCCAGAGTTTGTTCCTGTTCCTGTGCAGGGCTTCAACATAAAGAGCGTCCATTCGCATGGCCTCAAGCTAAATGTCTGGGATATCGGGGGGCAGCGCTCCACCCGCCCATACTGGAGGAAGTATCTGGGCAGCACAGACCTGCTGGTGAGTGGGGTGGCCGCCTGCAGCCCCCCCAGCCCCGCACATGGAGAGCCATGCCCTCTGCATGGGGCCCTTACAGCCACTGACTGTCCCGTTTGTCCCCATGGCAGATTTATGTCATTGACAGTGCAGACCAGAAGCGTTTTGAGGAGACAGGACAGGTATGAGGGGTCTGCTGGGGGGGAACTGGGGGGGTCCTGGGGCTCAGGCTCTTCTGGCACCAGCTCTTTGAGGACTGGAGTGGGAGTGAGGCTGCTCTGTGCCATGTCTCAGCACTGCTGTGGGGGCCAAGCTGTCCTGAGAGCTGTGTGGGAAGGGCTCGTGATCAGTCTCAGCATGCAGAGCCAGCCCACTCTATGGCACATCCATGACCAGCAGCTCCCCCTGATCCAGGCATGATGCCCAAGGGGTACCCAGCATGGGGGTGACTCTGCCCCTCAGTCCCCAGCCCTGCTCCCACCTCCCCAGCACCAGGTGAGCCATTTGACCAAGTGAAGATTTAGAAGTAGCAGATTCAGAGTTACAAACCCTGGGAATGAAGCTGAAGAGGGGAAGGTGAGACTCCAAGTGCCAGCCTTGGCTGTACCAGCACCAGACGGCGGCGTGGGTGTGCCAGACAGCACAGGGCTGAGAGCAGCTCCTGTAGCTGCCCTTTGCCCAAGGCTCTGGGTGCTGGTAGTGCTTCAGACCTCAGGCAGTACTGCATGCGGCTCCGGGATCTCTGCAGAGCAGATGGAGCTTCCTCTCCCTTGGGACGTCCAGACCTCACTGCTTCTTTGGCTGCAATAAGAGCACCAGAGAGAGGGGAGTGTGGCACTGTGGGGGCAGCCCACCCTGGGCAGCTCAGGCAAGCAGCCCAGCAGCTCTATGGAGGAGGGCAGCAGCCCTGGGAGATGGCTCTATCTTGGCAGGAGCTGGAAGAGCTCACTGAGGAGGAGGCCCTCACAGGGGTCCCGCTGCTGGTGTTCGCCAACAAGCAGGACCTAGTGACTGCTGCACCCGCAGATGAAATCGCAGAAGGGCTGAGCCTCCACACCTACCGGGACCGGGAATGGCAGATCCAGGCCTGCTCAGCCTTGTCTGGGGAAGGAGTGCAGGTAGAGCTGGGGGCCTGCAGGCTCTGCAGAGCTGGGAGAGAACCCCAGGACCTGCCATGCTCTCGGGGCTTTGCTCACATATCTCTCTTCCCTCCAGGATGGGATGAACTGGATTTCCAGCCAGATCATGAATAGGAAGAAGTGAGAGCTGCAAGTGCCAGAAGGGACTGAGCTGCAGGTCCCTAAGCCACAGCCAACCCCCCTCATTCTTAGACTCCCCCAGAGGCTCAGCAGGGCCCTGAGCCTCAGACCGCCATGCTCAGGGGTGCTTCCCACCCAGACTTTCACTGATCATTCAGCTTCCCCTCTCTCTGCTTCCCCCAGCTCATAACCCCCGACCCTCCTGCAGCCCTTGTGCTGTTGCAGGGAAGCACATGCCCCACTGTGTCAAGGGCTTGCCCACCTCCAGAACAAGAACCTGCTCAGGACATGTCCATCCACACTGCTGGCACCCTCTGCAGAGGCTGCTGCGGCACACACACTGCACAGAGCACACTGGGCACCCCACGATGGCACCAGCTACATCCTCTGGTATGGCACCTACAGCCAACTGAATAGTGTGTATTCCACTCTGTTCCCATAGGATGTGAGTGGTGCTGCCCCAGCCATGGCAGTTGGCTCGGGAAGGCCGAGTTCAGCTCCTTTCACTGGCCAGAGGAGCTCCCACATGTGCACAGGAGCTGGCACAAGGACACAGATGGGACTTGGCTGGGCAGTCCCCAATGGAGGGGTCACATTGCCTGCTCACAGCTTAGCTGCAGCTGCGGGGGCTGCTCTGCAGGGAGCCCTGGGAATTCCATGGTCCTCAACGCACCCGAGATGGGCCTTCTGCACGGAGCTGAACATGCTCCTCCCGAGGGCTGGAAAGTGCAGCTCCTGCCGCCAGAGCCCCACACCTCTGTGCATGGGTGGGAGACAAACCACAGCCGAGTGGCAGCTTCTGCTGCAGGCAGGCGGCCCCGCGGCCCTCAATAAACCTTTCTGTGACCTCCACACCGCCTCGGCCGCTCTTTTCCGCGGTGCCGGGACAGCGCTGCCCCGGCCCCACTGCTCGGCGGCCGGCGAGGACTGCGGGGCCCCGGGCCGAAGCCCGTCCCCCGTCGCCAACGCCATCTTGCATGCCGTTGCCATGGCGACAGGCTGCCGGAGAGGGTCACGTGCCCCGCGGGCTACACGTGAAGGGCACGAGGAGGGAGCCGGACTACAACTCCCAGCACACCGCGCGCTCGGCGCCCCTCCCGGCCTGCAGGGCGGCGGCAGCAGAGCTCTCCTGGCCACGCCCCCTTCCCTGCCATAGGTGGGCAGCAGTGACGTTTGCCCGCGGAGGCGGGAACACGGTGGTGTAGGGGCTTCTGATTGGCGGAGGGGACCGCCTCTCCTGGGCGGGGCCGGGGCGGGGCGCAGCCGGAGGCGGTGCGCCCGAAGGCGGAAGCGGAGCATGGCGGCCGGTGCGGGCGCGCTGCTAGCGGCCGCGGCGCTGCTGCTGGCGGTGGTCGGGCCGCGCCCGGCTCCCGCCGAGCTCACGGATGGCAACAGCGAGCACCTGAAGCGGGAGCACTCGCTGATGAAGCCGTATCAGGGTGAGCGCGGGGCCGCGCGGACGGGACGGACGCCCCGCGGCGGCCCGGGCTGAGCCACGCTCTCTCCTCCTCTTTGCAGGCGCGGGCTCCGCCGCGATGCCGCTGTGGGACTTCCAGGGCAGCACCATGGTCACCAGCCAGTACGTCCGTCTGACGCCCGACGAGCGCAGCCGGGAGGGCTCCATCTGGAACCGTGTGGTGAGAGCCCGGGGGGAGCCCTCGGGCGGTGGGGGGAGACCGCGGGGGCCCTGTGAGGCCCCAGCGCCTCTCCTGCTCCGGCTCTGAGGCTGCTGGGTGGTCTCTCCGCGCAGCCCTGCTTCCTCAAGGACTGGGAGCTCCACGTCCACTTCAAGATCCATGGAGCCGGCAAGAAGAACCTGCACGGGGATGGCCTGGCGCTGTGGTACACGCAGGAGCGCCTGGTGCCAGGTACGGTGCACAGTCGGGGCTGCCCACCGGGATGAAGCCAGGTCAGCTTTCACGTGTACCCTGTCCCAGAGGGTTTCCCACCAGGGAGGGTGTTTGAGCTCCCCTCTGCCTGGTCTCACGAGATGGGATGGTGTGTTCTGCATCTTCAGACCCTTGGTCATCAGCCTGGCAATAAACAGCTAATGCAGCTCTTTTCAGTAAAAGTGTCTGAGTATAAACTCTCTGGGAGCCTTTTGTTTCCAATGTTCTGCTCTGTTCTAGGTCCTGTCTTTGGCAGCAAGGACAACTTTCACGGACTGGCTATTTTCCTTGATACGTATCCCAATGATGAAGCAACTGAGGTGAGTCAGTCAGTGCCAAGGAGGCTGTTTCCTCAGCGGCTTCATGCTCCAAGTGCTTCCTGGCCAGAGCAAGAAAGAGGCTCTCCTTATATGAGTGGGCTGCTCTTCTTATCATGGGAGCTGGAAAAAGGAAGAGTTTATACATGGAGATAAGAAGGTCCTTGCTCCATCTTCTGCTGGTTTTGACTACACAGATGTTTCCAAAGCCCTTCCTCCTCCTCATGAGAGCATGGCACAGGGCTGGTATGAACTATGCACCAGCTACTAAGTAAAGTTAGAGGAATCAGCCCAAGAGTATATTAATCTTGACTGTAATTTCCTGAACGTCTCTGTGCTTTGGTTACTTATTCCATGTTGTTCTTGCTTTATTCTCCATTGGCAACCTGGGTATCTAAAAGACAAACTCCTGGCCAGGCTTTTTGCTCCAAATTCTCCATGGCCCAAATACAGATGAGTCCCATGGGGCTGGTGGTCCTTTTCTTCTGCCCTGGTCTGTGTTTGTGGATCCCATTACAGTAGTCAGAAAACATAATTCTGCTAGTGAAATTTGTTGCACTGAGACCATGATAGTTAAGTCACAAAGCACCTGGAAATGACCCATGTCCCTGTTATCTTGATGCTTGCTGGGAGGTCAATTCTTGCCTCCAGCTGACCTTTCTTGGTGTGTGTCATCTGCTGGCTACAAAGCCCTGAGCATTGTTATGCTGCTTTTGTGAGATTTCTGCCCATTCTGGGTCCTGTGCTCTGTTCTTCTTACCCAGGCTGGTGCTTACTGTGCAGGTTTGGGGTTGTCTCATTGCCCTGGACATGTGGCATGGTGTGGGCTTCTGCAGGGTCTTGATACAGAAGGTCAGACGTGGCTGCTCTGCTCTAGCCAGAACATGCTCCCACTCAGTTTAGAAGCAGCTTTATATAGAAAAGGAGCCTTGATTTCATTGTCCTGCCCTCTGCACCTGACTGTGCAGTGAAGCTGGGGCTCTGCTGCTGTGCCTTGCTGAGATCCTGCTCTCACTGAGGTTTCTGACCAGGCAGGGGAAGGTGGCTCTTGGTCTGCAGCCCCAAGGCTTGTGCAGGCTGAGGGCAGTGGCGCTCTCCTCCCTGCAGCGTGTGTTCCCCTACATATCTGCCATGGTGAACAACGGCTCCCTGACGTACGACCACAGCAAGGACGGGCGCTGGACGGAGCTGGCGGGGTGCACTGCTGACCTGCGGAACCAGAATCACGACACCTTCCTGGCCATCCGGTACTCCCGCGGTCGCCTGACGGTGAGATGTGGTGGATGCCTTCATGGTGTCTCAGGCGTGGTAGCCGGGCAGTGCTGAGGGGCGGGTGTTGCTCTGTCGGTAGGTGACCTGGAGATGGTTTTCCAGGCTCAACCGCCTGCCTCTCCTGCATGTCCAGCTCCAAAAGAGCTGCAGGCGTGCCGGATGGTGGCACCCGCTCCTGGTGTGACGCTCGCCTGGTCTTGCAGGTGATGACTGATGTGGAAGACAAGAACGAATGGAAGAACTGCATTGACATTGCAGGGGTGCAGCTGCCAACCGGCTACTTCTTTGGTGCTTCTGCTGGCACTGGAGATTTGTCTGGTGAGAGGGGGCTTTGCTCGCAGGAACACGTTTGGAGCCTGGCTGGTAGCGCTGTGGGTGCATTGTATGGCTTTGATAGCTTTGTTTCCTCAAATTGTTCACCAGGCTCTTTTGAAGACCTTCTGGGTAGGGACCTGTGGCCTGGGAAGGGAGGTGTTTTGAGCCAAGGACCGTCTCAAACTGCAGTTTGACACCTGGGGTGTGAGGGGGGCTTGAGAAGGAAGGAGGCCTGGACCTTGTGGAGCATGGTGCTAGGGGTGTTCTGAGTGTGTGGATGTCTCTCAGAGCTCCTGACAGTGTTTGGTGCTGGTGGTTGTTTTCTAGACAATCATGACATTATCTCAATGAAGCTATTCCAGCTCATGGTGGAGCACCCCATAGAAGATGAGACCGTTGACTGGACCAAGATAGAGCCTAGTGTCAGCCTCCTTAAATCACCCAAAGGTAAGTGGGGTGGTTGGGATTCTGAAACCTTCACTGGAGCACATCGGGGCTGGACTCTTGAAGGCATCAGAGCTCTGACACTGTGCAAGACTCCACAGGAGCCAAGGTCGGGTTGGTCTCTGTAGCTGTTCTTCCCCTTGCAGACAACGTGGATGACCCAACGGGGAACTTCCGAAGCGGGCCTCTGACAGGCTGGAAGGTGTTCCTGCTCCTGCTCTGTGCGCTGCTGGGCATCATCATCTGCGCTGTGGTGGGAGCTGTGGTCTTCCAGAAACGCCAGGAGCGGAATAAGCGTTTCTACTAGCAGCAGAGCTGGGCTGTGACCTGCACCCAGACCCATCTTTTCTATGAGGAGCTGTAAATCTGTGGTTTCTAGAAGCTGTTTCTGAGATACATCAGAAGTATTTTTTATCTGTCTGTTTGGCTGTAACCCCTGCCTGGCACTTGGCAGTAGCTGGGTTGGACCGAGGGGGACGATGCCCGCTGGGACCCTGGGGCTGTTCTGCGGGAGCCTGGATGTCGCTCCCCGTTTTTCCAGCACTCCTCCTGCCCGATGAGATCTCCTGGATGGGACCTGCCGTGCTGGGTGTGAATGTGAGGGCTGTGGGAGGGGGCTGCGAGAGGGGCATTAAAGGAGTGACACCAGCTGCGGCTCTGGCTTTGTATGGGGTGGGAAAGAGGGGGCTTTGCTGCAGTGGGGATGAAAGCCTGGGGGGCGTCCATTGGGGGTGGTTCCAGCTTGGTGTGGGGATGACCGGGGTGGGGGTGTGTTCCCCGCAGGCTCCGGGGGTGACACGGAGGAAGCGGGGGGGGGGGGGGGGTTATCCTTGAGGGTTGCGGTGCGGTGCCCACCGGAGGGGGCGGCTGCGTGTCCCCGCCGGCGCCGGGCGGAAGGGAGCGGGGCGGAACGTCGGAGCCGGGCCGCGTTTCCGGCTGGGAGCGGCGGGCGCAGCCAGCGTGTCCCGCGGCGGCGCCGGGGCCGGGGCCGGGCGAGCGCCATGGGCCCGGCCCGCCGCAGGGCCGCGCTCCGCCTGCGCGGTGGCGGGTGAGCGGGGGGGGGTCCTCAGGGGTGATGGGGGGGGGGGGATCGCGGCGGCTCGGGGGGTCCCGGCGGGCGCTGACATCCGCTCGCGTTGTGAGCCAGGCCCCGCTGCCGCCCGGCAGGTTCTCCGTGTTCCCGTTGTTCTGCCTGGCGCTGCTCCTGGGCTTCGCCTCCCTGCTCTGGCTCCAGCTCAGCTGCTCGGGCGAGGGGCCGGCCCCCGGCGGCGGGCAGAGCTGGGGGGCTCCCCTGCAGCCCTGCCCGCCCCAGGCCCCGCTCCCGCCGGTGGAGGATGAACCGTCGTGGGGTCCCCATCGCCTGGCGCTGCTCGTCCCCTTCCGGGAGCGCTTCGAGGAGCTGCTGACCTTTGTGCCCTACATGCACCGCTTCCTGAGCACCAAGAGGATCCGGCATCACATCTTCATCCTCAACCAGGTGGATCATTTCAGGTAACGTGTCCCCTTGCCACAGCGAGCGAAGGGAGTGAGGGGAACCCCCTTCCAAACCCAGCCCCACCATGAGCACTGCACTTGCCTCTGGCAGTGTGAAGTGTAGGACCTGGGGAGAGATGCTCTCCGCAGATGTACTCACTCTAGGGCTTAAAGAAGAATGAGCTGGTGTTTTGCTTCTCTCTTCCTGAGCAAGAAGAGAATTATCTACCCCAGACATATCAGCTTGTTCCCTAGTGTCACCGGTCTATAGCAGTAAATATCTGGGGATGCTGAAATGAACAGAAACACCATGGGGTGCTTGGGAACACTGTCACTTAGCCCCTGCTCACCATTTGGTACCTGCCTGCAGCTCCAGTGGGTGCTGTGGAGCTCCCCAGCTGGCTTTGGGCAGAATGGAGCTTACTATAGCTCCTTGGGGTCTGCAGTGGTCAAACCACTGCATGTCACCGTGAGGCTCAGCGTAAGCTTCAGGACAGGCAGCTGAGGCACCCAGTGCTGCGGAGGCAGGGAACACTGTGTGTGTGTCCTGTCTGGGGACCAGTTGGACATTTAGCATTGAGGAATACAGGAGAGGGATGTGAAGGCATGGTGGCAGCTGTGCATGGTGCTGAGAGTCTCTGTCTGTGGCAGGTTTAACAGAGCATCCCTGATCAATGTGGGTTTCCTGGAGAGTGGCAACGACACCGACTACATTGCGATGCATGATGTTGATCTCCTGCCCCTCAACGAGCAGCTGGACTACAGCTTCCCAGAGGCAGGACCCTTCCACGTGGCATCCCCGGAGCTGCACCCGCTCTATCACTATCAGACCTATGTGGGTGGTATCCTGCTGCTCACCAAGCAGCACTACGAGATGGTGAGTGCACAGGTGGGACATCATGGCCAGTCTGGGGCAAAAGCTATGACACTGTCGTGGTGGACGGGCATACATTGTGTGATCTACAATTGGGATGGGGGAAAGGAGTCAACGTGTTTGGGGTCAGAGTCTGCAGTGTGAGCTGCTTACGGACAAGGGTTGGGAGGCTGCACTGGTGCTCAGAGCTTGGGATGCTGGTGTCTGCTCCACTGTGGTGTGTGGAGTTGTGCTGGACAGGACCTCAGCTAGTATGGTACCCTTCTCATTCCAGTGCAATGGCATGTCCAACCGCTTCTGGGGCTGGGGACGGGAGGATGATGAGTTTTATCGACGTATCAAAGGAGCTGGTCTCCAGGTGAGTGGTGCTCTGTGCCTCCTAGGTTGAAATTGCCCTTCTCCTTTTCTCCCCTTTGGGTCCCTAGCTGTAGCTGCCCAGGTAGGGACCCGGGGAAGCAGCCCTTCAGCGCTTCCCACTCCAGTAGCAGGCGCAGCAAGTTTTCTAGCAGCTTTACAGAAGCTCTGCTCTCTTCCAGGTTCGCCGTCCCTCTGGAATCACAACTGGATATGAGACTTTCCAGCACCTGCATGACCCAGCCTGGAGGAAGAGAGACCAGAAGCGTATCGCTGCACAGAAGCAGGTGAGATGTGAAACCCTTGTCTGCTTGAGGGGAACCACAGGAGATGCAGGCTGTGATCATCAGCGTGTGCTCTGAGCTCTCCTTGCTCGTGTTCTCTCCTGCCAGCTCTGTCCTCCCTGCCCAGGCTCTGGGTACTTCCCCCTCTGCTGGAAGCCAGCATGGGCTGAATAGTCTCTGTCTTCCTCAGGAACAGTTTAAGGTGGATCGGAAGGGAGGACTGAACAATGTGAGGTACCGGATCGAGTCACGGACAGCTCTGAGTGTGGCAGGAGCCCCTTGCACCGTCCTTAATGTCTTGTTGGACTGTGACACAAACGAGACCCCTTGGTGCACATTTGGCTGAGCCAGTTGTGTCTCTGTGCTTGAGCCAACATGTCAGGGCTGCTGCCCAGCTGCTTGGACAAAGCAGGATCTTTGCAGTGGCTGATCGTGGCGGTGAGATGCAGAGGAACAGAAAAGGCCAAGAACCGGGCTTTGCTGGGTCTGACAGAAGAGGCTAAGAGCAGGACTCGGTGGCATTGCTGCAGACACTGGTGCTGTCTCCCAGGGCAGATGCAGGATGCTGTTTTCCTGCTCTGGACATGGCTGAGCTGCCACCCAGCTCAGAGGACAATAAAGAACTATTAGGGCACCTGTGTGTTTTGAGTGCCCTGGGCTGTGCCATGCTGCTCCTTTTTCCTGCTCCCTTCACCTTACTGGCTTCAGTGCACCCATTTCTGGCGTGGACCCAGCTATACTCCGGCTGGACAGGTGAGCTGCTCTGGTTTGGAGTCCAATCCAGTCCAAAATGGGCTTCAAGTGAGGTGGCGCCTGTGTTTCAGCTGCCAGGTACCCCCAGGGCTGTGCTGTGGTCACTTCATTGCAGGAAGCGGTTGTGCCATGCCCTGAGCCCCAGCATCTGCAGCTCTGCTGGATGTCAGCAGTTTAGGTAGCCCAGGACTTCAGAGGAGTGAGCAGGAGAGCTCTGGCTGAGCTATTCCCTTCCTTGCCTGCCTTCTGTGCCATGTGCTGCCTCAGCCTTTTTGGGAGCATTGGAGAACCTGATGTCCCCCTGTAAGTGCTGTGGGAAATTGGATCTGCTCTGGCCCTGTATGAGGTACCCTGGGAAGGGCTGGCTGCCAGGCTCACCGCAGTGCTGGTGGAGCTGGGGTGATGGTGTGGGTGCAGGGCAGGAATTGGGACAGTTGCCCCTAACCTGCCTGACTCAAGGGGAACAAGAGCTTCCCTGGATGAGGCAGGAGCTGGAATGCTCCCTCAGAGGTGGGAAAACAGGGGTTTGGGTTGAGAGAGAGGCAAGGCTGTGTGGGGCCCAGGCTGCAGGTGTCACCCACTTTCTCTTGCTGCCAGGCTGGTTTCTCCCATGTTGTGGCAGGACAAGGGCCTGGGCTGCCTCTACCAGCAGGGTTCAGGGGTATTCACTTGCTGAGGGTATCAAATGCTGGTCCCCCACTGCTGGCAGGGCTTGCAAGGGCTCTGCTGTGGGCTCAAGCACCTCACTGTGGATGTGGCTTGTCTGGGCCAGTGAGTGGGTTGGGGAAGGTGCCTGGGGAAAAGGCTGGGTCAGCCTTGGGGTGCTGGTGGGCAGGAGGTGGCTGGGCAGATGCGCCCTGCAAACCCTGGGTCTCTGACCTGCTGCTGCCAGAGCAAGAGCAGCCGTGGGAGGTGGCAGAAGCAGTGATGCTGTGTGCTGGGAGAGTGCCCTGGGGCAGGAGACATGAGGAGGAAGTGAAGGAGAGGAGGAGGCGAGTGTCCTCTTGTGGCTGCTGGGAACAAGCTGCAGTGCTGGACCCAGGCAGTGGGAAAGCTGGGAAGGTGCCAATGGGTGAGGAAGGGCACTGGGTACTGGCAGTTACTTGAGTTTGGTAGAAATCAGCCACACCAGCACCTTTTGCTGGGAAGTGGGATGTGAAGAATTGGGAGGGACGGATGTGGGGGCCCACATGCCCTGCTCAGGAGCCAGCTCTCGAGTCCCAGGCAGCAGTAGGAGCCTTGGAGGAGCACGTGGTCCATATCCACTCATGCTGGGACCAAACAGGCGCTGTGACCTCTAGGATGCTTTTGCTCACCCTGACCTGCTGAGGGTGGCCAAAATGCCCACCAGCTCTCAAAGGAGGCCCCTGCCAGCGCCGGACTCCTCTCTGTCACCAGCCTGGCCTGGCCGCCTGCTGGGTGAGATTGTGCTGTGCTGCTCAGCAGTGGAGGGTGCTGGGCTGGCTCACAGATGGTGCCATGCGCTGGCTTTGAGGTCTTGGCATGCGTGTGGGGTTCTGCTGCCTCCTCAAGCTGGGCAGACCCAGCCGAGCAGCCGGTACCCCTCCGTTCAGCCCCGTCTCCAGTGCTGGCACCAGGCCCTCCGCATTTCCTGGCCCCTTTCATCCTGGTCCCCTGCCTGGCACTTCCTGGAGCAGTTGCTTTGCCGGGTGCCTGCAGATGTCCCCAGACAGAAGTTGTTGCCATCCCAGGAAGATGAGCGGCCCCAGGGACATGGCACCTCCGGTGAGGAGCACTGGGATAAGGGAGGCACAAGCATCAGAGCCAAGTGTGGGGTTTGTGTACTGTGTAGGGGCAGCAGGATGAGAGAGGAGCGTCTGGAGAGATGTGGTGCTGTCTGCTCTCCATGCTGCTCTGGAGCTGGGTGAGGATTCCAGAGCCCTGTGGAC